TATGGATTGCTTTTGGAAAATTGAACCTCCAAATGTTTGTTAGAATATAATACCTAATTAATTGTTGATAAAAATATAACATCAAAGAGTAATATCGGAAGATATAGGGATTAAGAAGGGATATAAAGCTAGATTTCTTCCTTTTATGGAAGAAGCTTCCTCGAAAAATGTCAGAGTTCGGGCCAGGTTTTGAAAATTTCTGGGGCGGGTTTCGGGTCGAAAAAAGCCTTGTTTCGGGTAACGCGTCCTATCCCTGGTATACATGCCGTATTTGCTTAAATAATTCCTTTCTCTCTATTAATTACCCCTTCCGACAGAGATTTGAAATATATTTATGTAACCACAAATATTTATCCAGGACTCAAAATTTTATCACCGTCTCTTTCTTAAATTCAATCTTTCACTGGCTGACAATACAGACTTTGTTGAAGTTTGTTCCAAAAATTTTAATGGAAAAAATGTTGACTGTCAAATGTATTTTTTAAAGAGTTGAGCAACTAAAAATAAAAATTTATTTTCAGATTAGACTCAGGAAAAGTTGGTTCTGAAAATAAAATTGAATTTAATGTTTCGAAAGTTTCTACGTTACTTTTTAAACGAGATGCTTCAATAAATATTTGGTATCATCGCGAATCTGAAGAAATAATTACTAATAATACTAATATTCCAAGACAAATTAATTTTACTTATGAGTGGAGAGAACGTACATAATTAATTCTTTATTTATCAGAATAAATTTCAGAATATCAGAATAAATATTAGAATGGACCAGAAAATTAATTATGATAAACCAAAGAATTCTGATTTTTATAATAAGAAATTCAATTGTTATAAACAGAAACACTAAAAATTTTTTAATTTAAATTTTAATTTAGAATATTTAGGCTGTAAATGTGGAGATGTCCATTTAAAAGCAACTATAGACAATTGGAATGTTTTATATTCTCCTGATTATCCAGAAACTTATTGTCATTCGATGGATTGTTTATGGCGTTTAGAAGCTCCAAAAGGATATAATATAGTTGTTAATATTTCAGAATTTAATATAGAAGAGGAGCATGATTTTTTGACACTTTTTGATGGATATGATACAAATCAGAAACATATGGAAATGTTAATTATTTATTTAAAAATATCAGAATTCTGATTTTTAAAAATCAGAAAATATATTTTAAAAACAAAATTCTGCTTCTAAAAAATGAGAAAAATATCAGAATTTCAAAAAAATACTGATTTCTTAAAGAAAAATCAGAATAAATATCAGAATCTTTCGCTTAAAATTAAAAGAATACAAATAATCTTTTCAGCTTTTCTGGAATGATTACGTTTAATAATACAATAAAAAGCAAACAAAATATTATGTCAATTTCATTCCATTCTGATATTAGTATTCAAATGAGTGGATTTACAATATGGTACAAAGCTGGTAAGCTGGAGATTTGAATTTAAAAAAATTTTAACAAATCAGAATTTATAAACTACAATTAAAAATCAGAATTTTAATTTAATGTAAATTCTGGTTAAAAATAAAACCAGAATTTTTTATTCAATTTGTAATATTTATTTTAAAATTCTGGGTTTAAAAGACCAGAATTATTAATCAGAATTTTTTGTAGTTTTAACCAGAATTTCTGTTCAGAAAAACCAGAACCATAGAAAACCTATATTTTTAAGTTCAGAATTTCGAAATTCAGAATAAGCTCCTGCTTTAGAGCTGAATTTAAAAAATCAGAAAAATAAATTTTAAATCAGAAATTAATTTTAAAGTTGATGGTTAGTTCTACTTTGATGTTTATTCTAAATACTTGAAGCAAAATTCAGACAGAAACAAATAGTTGCGATATTAATACATAAATAAGATTTCTTTTTAAACTATTACATATAATAATATTTTAAATTATTAGCTTATGTATTTTACGAAAATATAATTTTAAAAATATTAGATCTTTATAACTAACCATCAAACTAACCAAAAGTTTTTTAGTTATTAACTGGTTTAGACCAGTTTTTTAATCAAAAGTTTTCTACCTTTTATTAAAATTAAACTGATTTAAAAAATCGTTGCCAGAAACAGCGATTTGTTAAAAGTCTCCCCTTAATAAAACCGGCATTAGTTTAAAAACCGAAAAACCCTCTCGAATAAGTTACCGATATTTAACAGAAACTGCTGACAAACTTTTCTGATATACACAAGACAATTACATTATTTATTTAATTAACATATATTTTAAATTACATCAAGTAACGCTCTTTTACAATTTTCAATTTAATTAAACATCCCCTCTTTTCAGAACACTCAGAAGCTAATAAGGAGGCGGCTTCTTGGTTGGTTTTTTAGGATAAGCATCAGCATTTATAGCAGGCACAAACACCATAGAGCAAGCAATCAAAAAAGCAACAAAAATTGCCATTAACTAAATAAATTTTTTTTGTTAATTTTTAAATTAAATTATTTACTACCTTCATTTTTAGTAGTAGAGAGTTATTAAAGTAGTTTTTAGTTAAAAGAGAGAGGAGAGAATGTTTTTGAATGATTTGTCACTAAAATTCAACAACTATTTATTCTATCCAATTTTGAATTTAATTTTCTTCCTTGTTTACGTGGCATACTTGATTGAAAAAATAATTATTTTGTCATAATATTTTCACAATATTTTTGATAATTATCGTGTTGTCAACATTTTATCAATTTCCTCAATTTTAAAAAAATTGAAGAAATTCTTCTTTAAAAAAATAAAATAAAAATGAAAATAATGATGTAAGAATAAAAAATTGTTAGAATAATTTTAAAAAAAGTTTTTGACTTTTGATGCTGCTTTATAATATTTTTAATTGTTGGAAACCTAAACATAATAGATAAAAAATTTGGTAAAAAAGGCGTTGGATATTTTTAAAGAAATAAATTCTTTGATAAATAAGGAAATAAAATAAGTTTTATAATTACTGGATGTGTTTGTATATTAAAAACAACAAGGAAGAAAATTAAATTCAAAATTGGATAGAATAAATAGTTGTTGAATTTTAGTGACAAATCATTCAAAAACATTCTCTCCTCTCTCTTTTAACTAAAAACTACTTTAATAACTCTCTACTACTAAAAATGAAGGTAGTAAATAATTTAATTTAAAAATTAACAAAAAAAATTTATTTAGTTAATGGCAATTTTTGTTGCTTTTTTGATTGCTTGCTCTATGGTGTTTGTGCCTGCTATAAATGCTGATGCTTATCCTAAAAAACCAACCAAGAAGCCGCCTCCTTATTAATTTCTGAGTGTTCTGAAAAGAGGGGATGTTTAATTAAATGGAGAAATTTTGAGTAAAATGTTGGATATTAAAAAAAGACTTGCTCTTTCTTTGTAATTTAAATTCTGTTAAATAAATTAAAATTAATATGTACATGATTGTTTTCCTTTAATTTTTTAAAAAATAATTAAGTTTTCGGTTATTATTTTTATATTTTTGCAGCATTCAAGATTTATAAATTTTCGACAAAAAAATATTTTTTGTTAAACTAAAGAAGAATTTGTTGAATTAGCTAAGCTGTGATTACCGAGACTGTTAAAATTGTTAATTTGTTCCTCTATTCTCTACAATATTTGCTTTATAAAATTCTTTTTGTTAGCAAAAAGCAAGCACACAGCTATGTAATGTTATACTTAAAATAAAAATTTATGCGAAATAAAAAATATAATGAATTTTCATTCATAATGTGAAGATATTAAAATGCAAAAATAAAAATATTTTATTAAGTTTTAAATTTTTTAAATGAGATCATGGAAATTTTGTGAATAATTCATATTGGACTATAATTTTAAAGTCAAATAATTAAAAATATAAATCTATACTTTTACATTTTTATTTAATTATTTCACGATTGTTTATAAACAATTTTTTCATTTGTTTATTCTTCCTTCTACATATAAATTGCAGATTAATGGCTATTTAATTTAGAAAAGGAAGTTCTAGTTAATTTTTTTTATTTAATGTGTTTAGTCATTTAATATTTTCTATTATTATTTTATATAAGATTAAATAAATTTTTTTTAGATTTTTTTTGGTAAAGCACTTTTGTGATTTTTAGAATAAAATTACTTTTTAATTTTAGCAATTGTCTGGGTTTATTCTGATTTTACAAAGAAATCTGATTTTTAATTTAAATAATTCTGATTTTAAAATTTACTATCAACTTTATAAACATTTTTTAGAAGCAGAAACATAGCCTTTTAAAATTTGTTGTTTACATTGACCCTGAGGCATGTATCGGGATTAGGGAGTAAGACCTAGGGTTTTTGCCCAAAAACCCTAGACCTTACCCAAAAAATTATTTTTTGCCCAAAAAACTATTCTCTGAACAGTAAAAAAAGACATTTATTTTGTTTTTAATGTTTTGTTTATATTTTCTACACTGTTACTTTTAAATAAATAATTTATGCAGCTGACTTTCCTTCATTCTCCCTACTTCCTTTGCAGTACAAAATTCATTTTTTCGATCTGTCAATAATGGTTCATTATATATTTATTTGATCTGTATCAATTTAACTAAAAAAACTAAAGATTATTATTAAATAATTTGTGTTCTGGACAAAAGCTACATATTTTTTACACAAAAATAAATTTTTAATTTTTATTATTTTTTATTAAAAACTTCTTTTAAAGTTTAATTCCAAATATGTAAATATACGTAGAATTTATAAGTCTGATTCTCTAAAATAATCAGAATTTCCATTTAAATCTGTTTGATTAAAAAACCAGAATTAAATAATTAAAACAGAATTTATTCAAGTTTAAACTTGAATTTAAGTTTAATTTAATTTAAGTTTATAATTGAAGTTTTAAGTTTGAACTAATTAACTTAAAATTAAATTATAATTCAAGTTTAAAAAATTCTGTTTTAAGATTTGAAGCACAATTTTGTTTAAATAAAAAATTTAATTCCTCATTTTTATAAATTTAAATTTAAACATAATTCTGATCTTCCTTTGTCCAGAATACTTTTTAAAAATGCTCTGTAAACAAATATTTATTTTCCTCTTAATACAATTAATTCCCATTACTACCGAAACAGCTGAAACAGTGGGTAGTAACAGAGATTGTAGTTGTCCTATTGAGGAGACTTTTGATAGTAATTTGAAAGAGGGTGTATTTAAAAGTCCTGGATGTGAGTAATTGAATAATTAATTTTTAAAAATCAGAATTTTAAATATTAAAATAACGTAGTTCCTTTAATAGAATGGACGGCCATTCTATTTTTCAATCATCCTTTAAAGGGCTATTCAAATAGAGGAAATACTGTATTTAGAATTTTTCAAATATTCCTCCAAAGGTTTAAATTCTATATTATATTTTTTATCAGACCCCGCCGAATATTGTGGTTCACTTGACTGTAAGTGGAATATTCTACCAGAAGAAAATGCTTTTATTTATGCAAAATTGGGAGGATCATTTTCGGTGATTCAAATTTTTTATTTTATATTTATCAAGTTTTAGACAGAAAAAAGATACGATATTTTGGATGTTTATCAAACAAGATGGAATGGTTCGAAGTTAATGAAGGTTAAACACGCAAGGTCAAAAGTTATTTTGTTTTAATACAAAAATTATTTTTCTGATTCAGTGTCAGCGGAGAAGCCTTTGTGGATATGGAATGGGAAAGGTCTAATTATGCATCCTCTATTGGCGGGGGACTTTTTTTCCATTTTGTAACAGACGGTCATGATCATAACAGAGGATTTGAAATTAGTTTTACGCGGAATCCTAAAGATGAGTTAAATTTTTTGTCAAGTTTAAGAGGGTCTATTGCTTACTGTTGAAACTAGTTTATAAAATTATATACCTAGATTTAAAAATTATAAGATTGATTTGATCATGGATAAAAAATCCAATTGGATTCTGAACCAGAACTTTGCAATAAACTGTAACCAGTATCGGAACAGACATATGCGGAAAAGTTTTCCAGCGAAATGAATTAAATATTTTAAAAATCGTATCTAAAAATTTTCTAAATCGGTTTTTGGTTTTAGTTTTTGACCAAATAGCAGTTTTATTATAGAGAGAATTTTAAACTTTTCACGCCAAACTTAAATAAAATCAAACAAAATTCTGGGTTTATTTGATATTTTTATCGAATTTCTTTTCTTAATTCCGGAACCGGCTAGAACCGCGGTTTCAATTTTTGGAAACGGAACTATAAATTTCTAAAAAATCAAAACTGTCATGAACCGTAACCGCGAAACCGTTTGATTTTTTGAACCTGAAAACACTAGTTGTCATCATTATTATAACTTTTATTTAAAAAAATTTTTTAAGTTTGTATGTTTATCCTACTCCATGTCCACAACCTTTTTATTATGCATCCAATTCTACTCAATATCTTCCTTCAACTGCTGTTAATAACAGACAAACATGCATCTTCTCTATAAATTCTACACAAGCAGTAAAGCTTATAATCAGAGGATTCGACAGTTCACGAAATAAAATTGAGGTATTCCATGAATAACTGTCCGTGGGGATTTTCCTTTTATGATTTTTTCGTAAAATCATTTTTTTCTCCCCTCGCGTTATCATTGTTGGCGAATGATAGTAATTGTTGGCGAAACTTTTGAGAAGTTTGGAAGGGCAGGAATCCAATTCTTTTATGTTAAGGATATTGTGTATATTTTGTAAATATTTCCACTATATCCGTATTCGTCGGTATCCGCGGATCCATCTGTGAACATGCCTGGTTTTATTATTACATTATAATTCAGCTCACTTTAAGAGTTCAAATATATTTAAGAACTTTGTCACGAATTTATATTCTTTAAATTTTTATTTAGTTATTTTTAAATAAACTTTTTCATGATTTATTACGCCAAGCTGTCAAAAAATTATTTGACAGAAATTAAAGGAAAGAAGAAAACGCGCAGAAAATTCCTTTTGCAAAATTTCTTTTCATGTCTTTCAGTAGGTAAATGCGAGCTGGGCATTTACCAAGGATTTGAAATTGTCCAAAATTGTTTAAATTAAAAAGGGAGTGTGATGAATCTATACCAGAGACGAGACAAGGGAAAAATGAAAATGGGGACCCCAAAGTTCAAAATTATACAAAAAAATTTCCAGGTTTTTGAAACTGAAAGTTTTCCCAAACCTTATGTGGAACGTCAAGGAGGACAATTAGCAAAGTTTAATAGAAAAATAATAAAAAAATTAAATAATTTTTTAGAATTGAAAGGCATTCCTTCAATTCATTCCCTTTAATTGTAACAAGTAGAACACATTCTTTGAGTATTTTAATTACTTCTTATGAATACGAACTTTTAGATTCTAATATAATTGAATTTATTGCTGTTAAAAGTGGTAATTTATTTTTGTTTTAGTCTGTTTATTATTTGGAAATAATTTAAAAAAATATTTTTTAATTCCACATTACCGTATTTACTCTAGTAATCCCCCAGGGGGATTATTGTTTCAACCCATCGCTAGGGTGGGGAATTAATAGAGACTGGGGAATTAATAGAGGCTGGGGGATTATTATTTCAACACATCACCAGGGTGGGGAATTATTTTGAAGATTGAATATACTGGAGATCGGTAAAATCGCATTTGCAGGATCCTGTAACAGGATTGGGTTTTAAAATTTCGAACAGGACAGGATCATGCAGGATTAATCCTGAAAATCCTGCCAATCCTTCATTTTTTTTCAGGATCCTGTCCAGGATTTCGGGATTTTCAAAAATCTCAAAATTTCTCAAAATTTACGTCTGCGGCGTTGAAAATCGAAATTTTTGGCTAATATGTCTCAACTGAATCTTCGCTGAAAAAAGTTGTTCCCAATTGGAACGTCATCCCCACTGTTGGAACAACTTCCCCCATCACTGAGTCAACATCCCCCATTGTTGGGTCAAAAGTTTGGTGAATATACTGGAGATCGGTAAAATCGCATTCGGTAAAACCTTGTTCAAGTAATGTTGCTCCGGAAGGCCAATTCCCTCGCAATATCCTTAGATCCCTTCAAATATCCAAATATCACTAAAATCCAGTAACTTCAACGATATAACTCAAAATACTCCTTAATCATCCAAATCCTCTGATATACCATTCATCTTCCCTTTACAGCGTCTCTCCAAAATTTGACCGGGACGGGATCCCGCGGGATTAATCCCGTAAAACCGGAAGCCCGGTAATCCGTTTACTTTTGATTTGTTTTTATGTCGTTAACGATTTTTTGATTATTAATATTGTTTTAATAAATGTACAGACTGAGGGATCATTGTTCCAACCCATCACTAGGGTGGGGAATTAATAGAGACTGGGGAATTAATAGAGGCTGGGGGATTATTGTTTCAACCCATCACTAGGGTGGGGAATTAATAGAGACTGGGGAATTAATAAAGACTAGGGGATTATTAGAGTAAATACGGTATATGATATTTTTTCCATTTACAAATCTAATAATAACTAAGGATTAAAAATTTTAAATCTATTTTATTGGGAACAGAGGTGTTTCGAAACAAAAAAATTTTCGAAAATCGGAAATCGAAAATCGAAATAAATCCAAAAATATCGAAATCGAAAATCGAAAATATTTTTTAAAATCTTCGAAATCGAAAATCGGAAATCGAAAGAAAAATAACCTCGAAAATCGAAAATCGAAAAACGAAAATCGAAAAAAAAATTTTTTAATTAAAAAATGAAAAATAAATTTTTGGTACTTATCGGTTATCTTCCCACATTTTCTTTCCTTTTATTTCTTTTTCCTCTCCAAAGTTACTTTATCTCTAAGGAATCGGGGAAAACTAATGACTAGAATAGGAGATCCAGGGAAATCACGGATATCCAAACCCAAAATTTTGTTATCCGAATCTACGGCACCGACTCCGACCTATTCAAATCTTGGCTCCGGGGCCGGTGATTTTCTGAGCCGCTTCATGGTGTCTCCAGACTCCGGGTGGAAAGTTAAATAGTAATATTTCATCATGAGATCTGTGAGGATTAAGAGGGATAATGGAGGATTTGATTAAAATCCCCTAATATAGTGAAACAGAGCTAGACCGCTTTACTTATAAGGTTGGGCGGTACAGGCATAAGGTTCTGGCATGGGGGTGGGCTTACAAATCCACATTAATTCAAGCGAATCCTACAATATACCGGAGCAATAACAATATTGTTAATAGATCAGGGATTCCTTTTTTACCGCCTAAGTCGAAAATTTTGAGAATTTTGGAAGACCAAGTCACCAGAATTCTTCATTTTTCAGCGCCGCAGGCGAAAATTTTGAAAATTTTGGAGGATCCATAAGCCAAAAATCTTCCTTTTTCTGCGCCGCAGGCGAAAATTTTGAAAATTTATGATGGCCGATAAGTCAAAATTTCTACGTTATGGCGCCAAAAATTCAAATTTTTTCAAAAATTCGAAAATCGGAAATCGAAAATATCACAAAATTTCGAAAATCGGAAATCGAAAATCGAAAGGAAAAAAACCTCGAAAATCGAAAAACGAAAATCGAAAATCGAAATTTCGAAACACCTCTGATTGGGAAAGGTTTTGGGGAATTCGAGTTGGGAGAAACGAATAATCGGGAATTTAGATCTCCTATACTAACGTAATTTAGGAATTATGAAAAGTATTTTATGGGGGAACAGTGAGAGGTGTTGTTCTATACAAATTTCCTTAGAAAACATTTCTCTAAATAAAATTAATTATTCAAAATTTTTTCAGTTTGTGACTGCTTTCCAAATAATTTAATAGTTAGTCGTGTTCAACCACTAAATTTACTCTCACCAGGCTTTCCATTAGAATATTGTGACAATCTTAATTGTTCTACACAAATTTCTTTAGAAAATCCTTTAACTATTACAAACGATGTAGAATGTTTACAAATTCAATTTAATTCTTTCCGTACTGAAATAGATATGGACCTTTTACATTTACTGCAGATACCTTTTGGGGATGAAAAGAGAGAGCTTATATCGTAAGCTTTATGAGAATATCGGAGTATATAAGGGGTGGGTAGTAGTGATGTTCGAGAGTCTCGGTCTCGACTCTCGAGTCGAGAAATTTCTCGGGTTTTTTGAGCTCTCGGTCTCGGTCTCGGTCTCGGTGTTTTACTCTCGGAAAACGAGACTAAATTTACACCCCTAAAGACGGAAATTTTTTGAATTTTACTTTACCCCTCGTACTTTAACATTTAATTTTTTAAAGAAAAGGGAAAGAAATATTTATATTTTTTCCCACTTATACTTTTGTTGGTTGATGGTTGAGTGGTGAAGTCGACTGGCTTCATTCACCTAGTTACTCGTATAGTGATGGGTTCGAATCCAAGGGTGGAATTGAGTCTGAAAAAGTTTTTATATTCAAAAATAAATGTCTTTTAACTTTGATTTTGATTTTAAAATTTATTTTTTTTTTAATATTTTAAACTTCAAAAGACATTAAAAATGCTAATTTAGTTATCAATTTTTCAAAATTTTCGCCTGCGGCGCAGAAAATTAAAAAGTTCTGGGTTCATGATCATCTAAACTTCAAAAAAATATCTGCCTAAGGTCTTTGAAATTTCTCAAAATTTTCGCCTCCGGCGGTGAAAAAAGGAAGAGATCTGGCTATTGACCTTCCAAAATTCTCAAAATTTTCGCCTGCGGCGCTAACAAAAGACATCTGGCTTTGTGGCACTTCAAAATTTTCGCAAAAATTTTTTAATTTAATAGGATTAAAAAATATGAGAGGGATATCTGGGGATTCGAAAGGATTAAAGTAAGCATCAAGGGACTTGTTCGTTGGATTTGGAGGGATATCGATGGATAATTTTAAGCGATTAATGTGAATATCATTAGTGGATTAAGGTGGATATTGAGAGATTTAGAGATAAAGTTATTGTGGACTTGGGGATTCAAGAGATTTTGGAATTATGAGGGATATAAATGGATTTTTAGGGATTAGGAGGACATCAAGTGATATCCCTCTTATTCTCTCGGTCTCGACTCTCGGTCTCGACTCTCGACTCTCGTTTTGGTCTCGGTCTCGGGGTCGATTCTCGGTCTCGGTCTCGACTCTCGACTCTCGGGATTTTTTGACTCTCGAACATCACTAGTGGGTAGGAACGTTGAGAGGTATCAGAACTCTAAACTGAACTAGCCCCACTGCTGGAAGGCATCGACCAGTACTGCATATTAGAAGCTTAGCACCTAATTCGCCCACACAAAAGTAAGGCAAAAAAATATACAGATACGAGATCTATATAGACCTATACGAGACTTCTGGAAATTTTAAGTACTTTTCTAACATAAAAAACTTGAAAAAATTAGGTATATTGATTAAATCTTTATCAACATAAGAGCTGTAGTTCGTTAAATTAATGGAATTACTAATTTACTTTTTAACATTACGTGCCATAACGTGTCAACACAACTAAAAATTATTTTTTTAAGTTTTGGTGGCGAGGCTAAGGGAATAAAATCTTTTACATTTGATTCATCAAACTTTGTTTTAAATTTTACCACCGATGCTACAGAACTTGATTCTGGATTTAATTTAACAATTGGATATATTAAAAGAAATAAAGGCAAGAATTGAGGGAAAAATTGAATTTTTAAATTAAAAAATTTTTTTAAAGAATGTTTATGCCATGGAACTGATAGCAACCTAAAAGTTTTGAACGGAAAGAAAAATTTAATGAAAAATAATTTCGATAGTAAAAAGTGCTTATTTATGGATTGTTTTTGGAAAATTGAACCTTTAAAAGTCTGTTAAATTCAGAAATCTGAATTAAAAAAATATTTAAAATTTATAGGAATCATCAGAATTTAATCATCGTCTACTTGTTAAACTCAATATTTCATTAAGTGATAGTACAGAGTTTGTTGAAGTTTGTGCTGACAATTTTCTAATAAGAAATCCTCAATGTCATAGGTGTTTCTTAATAAATAAACACTAAAGAGAATCCTTATTTTTATTTCTAGATTAGATTCGAGCAATGTTCGAAGTGAAAATAAACTTGAATTTACTGTCTGGCAAATTCCTGGGTAAAAAAAAATAAAATAAAAACTTTTCTGAAACATTTTAGATTACCTTATCTTGATAAAATAGGGCCAGTATATATTTGGTATCATCGTGAATTTTCTCCATTAGGCTCTGAAGAAGTGATTAATAATCCTAATATTCCAAGGAAAATTAATTTTAATTATGAGTGGAGAGGAGGTAATTAATTGATTAGTTGATTATTTATTAAAATATCAGAAAAAATCAGAAAAAAATTTATTTTGATTTT